ATTAAGCGCTTCGTTTCGCGATCATACAATCTGTACGCCTTTGCCGTATCAGAGTAACCAACCATGGTGTACTCCTTCCCCCCTTCCTCGTTGTCGTTTATCGAGTGCCACAGCAAATGACCCAAATGCTCGTAAATGTGCTACTGTTGGCTTGGCGACCGTACCATGCTTCGTATGGTGTTACCGTGCCCAATGCCTTAGTTGGTGAACGGTTTCTCAAATATGCAGCTGTATACACTGCCTCAGCCCACAATGACTCTTCAATACCTGCACTGAGCAGCATGCACCTTGCCATTTCAATGAGCGTATGGTTTAGCCTCTCTGCTACCTCGTTTTGTTGAGGCGTATAGGGTACCGTCAATTGTCGCAAAATACCTTTTGCTCATCAAAATTGTTGTTTACAAATTCTGTCCCATTGTCGCTTCTTAGGACCTTCAGTTTTTTGCCGGTTTGGCGTTCTGCCATTGCCTTAAATTGTTTGAATTTATCAAACACTTCGTCTTGTGTTTCAAAAAATAAACAAAAATAAAGCGTGTCTTATCATCATTAAATGTCAATATGTATCGAGCCCCGCCGATTGACGCTTTGTTGATAGGACCGCATACATCGGTATGCACCAGCCCTAGTATGTTTTCTGTAGAATTTTGTGCACTACTATTTATACGGACGCTGACTGCATTTACTGGACATGCACAAAGCACAATTGACATCTGCTGGTACGTTGAGTGTCAATCCAACCACCATTTGTTTATTACTCAGCTCCCGTAGACTTGCAAAATTTAAATGGCCAAAACGCGCATGCCATTTCATCACGTCATCAATCGCTTTCCACGAAAAGTACAATTTGTTTTTATTTGGTTAAAATAAATACAGATCACTGACCTTGCTAGCACTAAAAATAATTCCACCGTGCTTATCCATGATCGCTGCTTTATTTCCTCTGAACTCAACGATGTAGCAGCTGTTTACTGCCTTTGCAACTGACATAAAGTTGCACTGTAAACCTTCCACGAACAAAACATCAACAAGTGTGACGTCGAACTCCTTTGTCTTCAAGCGCACAACCCCTTTGCCTGTTGCTGTAATTTTATTTTCACCAGCAAGCATTATTGATTCATCACATGCCTCGAACTTGTCGAACATGTTGCGATTGCAACACAAGTGTGAAGAAGCTCCGCTGTCGACGCACCAAGCATCGGCATGTAGGACTCTGTCACTGATTGCAGCAAACAAACCATTCTTCTTTACATTTCGCTGTACCGAATGTTCTCGTCGTTTTTCTTTGCACTGAGCAGCAAAGTGGCCTTTCTTACCGCAGCTGTAGCATTTAAAATTCGACCGTTTGTTTTTGTCACTGCTTTTGTCATTGCTTTTGATTTCGGCACTTGTTTTGTCGTATGTCTTTGCGTTCGCAGAACACTTATTTTTTACGCATGTGTTTTCTTGTGCTATGAATGCCTGTGCACTCCATTCGGCATACTCCGAACTGCATGCTTTACGCCGTTCGCCTTCTTCTATTAATTTAATTTTAACCGCACTAAGCGATGGTAGCTCATCACGTGATTCCAAAGCAACCACCAAATTTTCGTAAGATTTTGGAAGGCTAGCAAGAAGCATGATTACGAACAAATCTTCTTGGAGACAAACTCCTATTTCTGCGAGTTTTTCCGCAACTGCCGAAAATTTGCAAACGTATTGCTGGGCGCAATCGCCATCAGTCATTCGAGTAGCAGGTAATTGTTTGAACAATGTTACTTTTCTCACCGGGCCTTTTGGTCGATGTACCTCTTCTAGCCTTTTCCATGCTTCATTCGCTGTTTTGCTGTTTTTCACGTGGCTTATTTGCATAGGAGTAATGCTGAGTATTATAGTCGCACATCAGCACCTTCAGCTGGATGAGCAGTTTCTCCGCACGTAACGGACCATAACTCTTGATGCACCAGGACACTTTGGAGCTGCAAACTCCACGAGTCATAATTAGACTCATCTAATTTTTCAATATTGAAAAGCGACGAACTCATTGCAATACAGAATTACTTTATATGTTTCACTTGGTCCCCAGGAATTTGCACCTGGGCCCATAACCTGTTGAATGTATTACCTTTTTGTGATTCGAGTTCCAAGTAAAAAGACTTTGGAAAATTGCGCTTCTAGTATAGAGACACAAAATGATGTTTATTAATTCAAAGTCAAAAAGCAAGTATATTAAAAAGAATACAGGGTTGCGTGAATATGTGAGTTGACGACAGAGTTGCATTTCAACACCTTATAATATAGTTAGGTTTTGTTAATATAACAAAATTTAAAATAATTACTAAAAAAAGTCTCACATTTATTCTTACTGGCGTACCAATAAAAGCCTTTTCTATAAGTAATAAATTGGCAAGGTACCTAAATGTTTTTATTACAGCTAGCGGAATAAAGGAGATGTCAGTTTTTGTACATATATAGATTTCACCGTAATATTTCATTTTTTTGTTCCTAATTAAGTTAAAGTAAAGAATGGGCACGAAAAATTTGTACAGCCGAAAATCATTACAACAACTTATTACACAACCTACGAAAAGAGTTTTCGCACAACTTCGCACAACTTCTTAAACGTAACACAACTTTACAAAACTTTAGGGTAATTATGCTCCACATACTACCAAATTTAGCAGTACTACCAACCTTATGAAAATGTAAACAATATATTATAGTGCCATTTGCCAATTGATTTATTTCGAAAGCATGGAGCGTAATTTATTTTTGAATTTAGCATTTTTAAATATGTGCCGAGCCTTCAAAAATTCTAAGCAGCGTCGACAAGTTCGACGGTGGGCGATTCGCCCAATAAATCGTGACCGAATACCAAATGGATGTTTTAAAAAAGTTTTTTTAAAAAAGAAGATGTACGATGAGGAAAAGTTTTTCATCGAGACCAGGATGACGCGCAAAGTATTCGACTTACTGCTGAATTTAGTTGGCTCTTTTTTACAAAAACCCAAACAGCAAATTGGATGTGAAGAGCGGCTCGCAATTACACTTATGTAAGTGAGTTATGAAGGAACGTTCGTTTTATAAACAACTCCTTTTAATCTGTAGGTATCTTGCACATGGGACTTCCTTCGAAATAATTGGGTCCATGTATAAACTGGGTGAATCTACAATACGTGCGATTGTTTTCGAAACATGCGAGGTATTGTGGGGGACATTGTCTTCTGCTTACCTGAGTGAGCCGAGTACTACTCAATACCAACAAATTAGCGAAGATTTCAAAAAATTGTGGAACATGCCGAATTGTGTCGGAGCAATTGATGGCAAACATGTTGCCATTACTTGCCCTAACAATTCCGGCTCCATGTTCTATAACTACAAAAAGTTCTACAGTATTATTTTAATGGCGACTTGTGATGCAAAATATACGTTCACATGGGCAAGTGTTGGAAGTTATGGAAGCCAGAGTGACGGAGGTAAAATTTAATACTACATAAAAGCTTTGAAATCTTGTAACATGTATTTATGAACTTTGTTCCTATTTATAGGAGTTTTCCAACATACTTCATTTGGACGATCACTCTTGGCAAATCAGCTGCCATTACCGCCAAGCACACGATTATATGATGGATCACCGCATGTATTTCCGCTAAAACCCAATTTAATGAGGCCATATCCCGGTTTAGGTTTAAACCGAACAAAAACCGTGTTTAATTATCGCTTGTCACGAGCACGCCGGGTAATTTAGAACGCCTTTGGCATACTAACTGCCCGTTGGCGGGTGCTACGCAGTACAATTGAGTGCAGTCCGGAAAACTGTGAAAAAATTGTACTGGGTTGTCTGCTGCTTCACAATTTTGTGATGTTGAATGACCAGAAGCGTTGGTATTGTCCAAACGGCTACGCTGATACCGAGGAAAGTGCACAAACATGGCGAATTGATTTGGCAGATCCTGGAGGCCCGTTACCGTCCATCACGTCGTCTCGACGCAACGCATCCTTAATTGCATTCCGCTTAAGAGATACTTTAGCAGATTACTTTATAAACCAAGGGGCTGTTCCGTTTCAATTAAATCAAACACTGCATTAAAAATGTTTATTCTATTTTTTCAAAAAGCACCAAACCGGTAACTAACATTGACTTATTATTAATGAACAAAACAAAAAAAGAGATCCATTTCAAAGCGCTTTGTTGCAAAGCAACAGTATCTTAAATTCTAAAATGTAAGGCATAATAATGCTTCGGGCTCCACCCCGCGTAGGGTCAAACTATTCAGTATTAAATAACAACAAGTAATTTTTAGCAAAAAAAAAACCGACTTCAACTCCCATATAAAAAAAAAATATATATGTATATCTCATGATCCACTGATCGTATCCTAACCAGATTAGTATGGGACCACCTCTGAGACAAAAAGAATTATCGAAATCGGTTGACGTGGTCCAAAGTTATGCGGTAACATACATAAAAAAAAAAAAAAAATATTCCGACGAACTGATAACCTCCTCCTTTTTTGGAAGTCGGTTAAAAACCAAAATGCCTCTTAGTAAAATTTCATATAGTACAAAAGTATAAACTTAAAGTAATCCAATTAAACATCTACATGCAGTTGTCTACAAAATTATAGGAGTGCAATATTTTGGTCAGTTTTGAATATTTGTCTTTTGTTTATTTAATGAAACACTTTCATCCAAAAAAATTATCAAAAAACAACGGGATTTTCTCCAACTTAAAACTTGCACTTCATTAAACTCCAATTAAATGGGCCACAAAACTGCATACAAAAATTTTGTCTAAAGATTCTGATAAAAAAGTTTAAAGTTTTGGCGAAATTTTGCAGAATTTTCATAATTTTTGTACAAAGCTTGAGATGCTAATTTATATGGTGTTTGTTGTACAACCAGCTAGACTTAAAAAAAGAATAATAAACATTAAATAAACAAAAGACAAATATTCAAAACTGGCCGTATATTAATTTCCTATAATTTTGTGGACCACTGTACGTACGTATGTATGTACATACATACTGTTAAATGAAGATACACATTCCGAATGTGTGAAGATTGTGAATTTGGAGTCTACGGCGAAACTTCTGCCTTATGCTCCAATTTAAGAGCCATTACTGTATTCGTCACAAGCTGAATGGCTTTGATTTGCTTCTCAGCACTCATTTCGCCAATGGTGGCAACAATCATCTGCCCAAAAGCTCGCAAGGTTTCGCTGCATTTCGGTGCCAGCTGTACTTTGCAAACATTTTTGTACAACTCCAACGCCTCACGAAATTCTTCGTTGCCATTATCACACTTTTTGCGCTTTCGACGGGGTGCCACTACACCCGACAATTGCTCTTGCTCTTCTAGTGGAAATAGCGGTGGTGATTGTGGCATAGAATCATGGCTTTCATTTAAAATAGGGGATGACATTTGCGAGGAAGGTGAGACTAGCGAAACGGTTCCTCCAACACGTTGAATGTGCATCGATTACTGGGAAAATTTTTATGTTAATAATATTCATTCCACATTGCATAACATATTCACTTACTTTCGTGGTTTCACGTAAGGTTTAAGAAAATTTAGTTGATCAAACAATGACCAAGCTGTTGAGCTTTTTGCAGCGCTTCCGGACGGTGCATCCAACGCCTTGCATTCTCTTGTGTATCGCTCGCGCAGTGTTTTCCAACGTTTAGTGCATTCTTCCTCTGCAACAAAACATGAAAAAATATTGAAATACAGTGATATCAATACATGAGGACTAACCTGTGGCTCCTAAATCGTTGGCTATAGCCTCCCATGCCGATTGCCATTTTAGTGGCAGCCGGTAGCCCGAGGAAAATTTATTATAAACGACTTCATGGCTCTGTACTAGTTGCACCAAACGCTCGTCATCGAACATCTTGAAATATAATAGAAATCAGTATTTCTTGCAAATGTAATTGTATTAAATATACTTACAATATTCTTAAATTTATTGTTTCCGCTTTCTGATTTCAATTGAATGATCAAACAAATATCAATGCTATCATCGCAATAGGGTTATTCACGATGTGTGAACAAAAACAGCTGTTTTTGGTTTCTTTGGGTATACATATGTATTTGTTAACAGAAAAATTTATTGAAGTGGCAATTAAGTGATTAATTGATTGAAGTGGTTTTAATAGGGCATATTCAATTAAGTCGAAGTTCAAATGAAGTCGACAATAAAAGATCTTTGCAGCTTGACATAATTTTCAATGCAATGACAATGAATTAAAAATAATGAATAAAATGAAATAAATAAATAAATAATGAATAAATGAAATAAAGAATAAAAAATCTCGCAATATACCTTTAATATATAGTGATATTACAATTTCTAGCCTGTGGCGCTTATGTTTTTCACTTATAACAGTATTTTAAGTATAAGTGCAGAATACGTACATTTCTCTGATTAAAAAAAAATTATATTAGGATCGATAGGGGTCTTAGTCCTGATAATAACGGTATAACATTTTTTTGGGGAAATAATTACTGGTGTTATTGAAGTTCGATGTAGAGAAATGTACGTATTCTGGACCTGTTCCGTATTTTAATATACATTAATAGGTCTATTCTGCACGTTACCGAAGATTTTGTAACCGGGAAGTTTTATTACCAAAAAATGTTACCAGTTCTTGTCACCGCGATTCGAGGAACGTTGGTAATGCAGTTAAAATATTCAGCAATTCAGCTATGAAGAATTGTGAAAATCCTGGCATTGCATATTTCACGGGGCAATAATTTGTTACCAGCTTATGAGATGATAACAAAATTTACCGGTTACAAGAATGCACAGAATGCGAAAAGGGTTTAAAAATTGACAGGAACTTTATTTACCGGTTACAAACATTTTATTACCAGCGCAGAATAGACCTGTTGGTGAAATATGATGCGCCGAAGTATTTTGCATTACAAATCAAAGGTATTTTTGTGCTCTTTCTGATGAACAAATCTTTTAATAATGTTAATCACGTTTTCTTTTAAGAAAAACATAAATTTGTATTACAGAATGGCCATCATTACTATTTTTAATTTTTCTCGAAATATGTATGCTTTTTATGAACAGATATTCATATCAAATAAAAGGCCTTTCAATGACCTTTCCAACCTTGTCCATACTTTGAAAATAGGTTAAACAGTTTCCGAAATATAAGCAAAATATTGATTTATTATTTCACCCCTCTAGCACCGCCCCTATGAATTTTCACCATTAAAATCACGAAAAAGGGGCGGGCCACGTTCACTTTTTTTTCTCTAGTTAAACGGGCTTTATTCTTTACTTGTTCTCAAAATTATACACATTCCCCATACATGCTTTGCTAATTCTAAAAACGTTTATACATAGTATGTATGTATGTTGCATTACTTCCTTCTCTGTCACTGTACTCCTTCAATGACTGTTTTGATAAATTTTAGGTGTTGTATATTTTGCATTTTATTACTGCATGGATTTTAGTTTTTTTTTAATTTTCAGAGACAACATTACATGGATAGAATCGTGAATTCCCCTAATATGCTTTCCATGCAACTCTGCAAAAATGTTGCTATTGGTACCACTGCAATTGAAATGTCACTTAAGAAAACGTGAGGCAAAATCTAAACTCAACAGATCGCAAATTTTTTACAAGTACTGCTAAAATCTGGGTAATGGAATACATACAAAACGCATTCAACAGATTTTCATCTGACAGTTTGAAATTTATGCGAAGTTGTGCGAAGTATGCATAATCAGACCTTGGCATTCGTTTAATAGCTTATTTTTGTTAAGGTATTCAGTAATTTGAACAACAACTAACTTTTCCCAGAGAGAAAGAGCCGATGGCTTTTTAGCAGTTGGGATAACTTTCGCTACCTTCCAAGCATCGGGGAAAGTTGAAGTTGTTATTGACAAATTAATAATGTGAGTCCAAGTGGGAACTTGTTTAGTGCTATAATTTTCAAAAACCTAAGGCTTATACCATCCTCTCCAACAGCGTTTGATTTTATGGAGTACAGAATTCTTATGACATCATCCTCAGTTACTGCGTTACACTGCAAAGCATTGTCAGGTGTAAACGTATTTCCTTGTAAAGAATTGTTGCAAGCATCAATTTTGAGTAAATTNATAAAAAAGGTATTAAATATTGAATGGCGCAACACAACAACTATTTTTGTTGCACGAAACCCTTGAACACGTGCCTGTCATCTATTTCTTCTGTTTCGACATTTCACTATTTTGCATTTCTTTAATTTTGACGTCATTGGCATTGTCAGAATTTTGAAATTCGTTTTGGTTCGACATTCTGCTACTTCATAATTCTTTCATTCTCATGTCATCCAACTTCCATTTTTTACCTTCCATTGCCGTTCGCATCGTCGAACGTGCCTGTCAAACACTGCCGCCATCATGCTTCTCAGTTTGGCAGGCACGTCCGCTGTTTGGCAGGCACGTCCGCTGTTAGAAAGAGAATAGACAAAAAGGGGCATAGGATTCCATACTTGTAAGTATATACGATGTTTCTGATTTCAATTGAATGATCAAACAAATATCAATGCTATCATCGCAATAGGGTTATTCACGATGTGTGAACAAAAACAGCTGATTTTTGGTTTCTTTGGGTATACATATGTATTTGTTAACAGAAAAAATGATTGAAGTGGCAATTAAGTGATTAATTGATTGAAGTGGTTTTAATAGGGCATACTCAATTAAGTCGAAGTTCAAATGAAGTCGACAATAAAAGATCTTTGCAGCTTGACATAATTTTCAATGCAATGATAATGAATTAAAAATAATGAATAAAATGAAATAAATAAATAAATAATGAATAAATGAAATAATGAATAAAAAATCTCGCAATATACCTTTAATATATAGTGATATTACAATTTCTAGCCTGTGGCGCTTATATTTTTCACTTATAACAGTAATTTAAGTATAAGTGCAGAATACGTACATTTCTCTGATTAAAAAAAATTATATTAGGATCGATAGGGGTCTTAGTCCTGATAATAACGGTATAACATTTTTTTGTGGAAATAATTACTGGTGTTATTGAAGTTCGATGTAGAGAAATGTACGTATTCGGGACCTGTTCCGTATTTTAATATACATTAACAGGTCTATTCTGCACGTTACCGAAGATTTCGTAACCGGGAAGTTTTATTACCAAAAAATGTTACCAGTTCTTGTCACCGCGATTCTAGGAACGTTGGTAATGCAGTTAAAATATTCAGCAATTCAGCAATGAAGAATTGTGCAAATTCTGGCATTGCATATTTCACGGGGCAATACTTATGAGATGGTAACAAAATTTACCGGTTACAAGAGTACACAGAATGCGAAAAGGGTTTAAAAATTGACAGGAACTTTATTTACAGGTTACAAACATTTTATTACCAGCGCAGAATAGACCTGTTAGTGAAATATGATGCGCCGAAGTATTTTGCATTACAAATCATGTATCAAATTAAAGGTATTTTTGTGCTCTTTCTGATGAACATATCTTTTAATAATGTTAATCACGTTTTCTTTTAAGAAAAACATAAATTCGTATTACGAATGGCCATCATTACTATTTTTAGTTTTTCTCGAAATATGTATGCTTTTTATGTACAGATATTCATATCAAATAAAAGGTCTTTCAATGACCTTTCCAACCTTGTCCATACTTTGAAAATAGGTTAAACAGTTTTTGAAAATATTGTTTTATTATTTCACCCCTCTAGCACCGCCCCTATGAATTTTAACCATTAAAATCACGAAAAAGGGGCGGGCCACGTTCACTTTTTTTCTTTAGTTAAACGGGCTTTATTCTTTACTTGTTCTCAAAATTATACACATTCCCCATACATGCTTTGCTAATTCTAAAAACGTTTATACATAGTATGTATGTATGTTGCATTACTTCCTTCTCTGTCACTGTACTCCTTCAATGACTGTTTTGATAAATTTTAGGTGTTGTATATTTTGCATTTTATTACTGCATGGATTTTAGTTTTTTTTTAGTTTTCAGAGACAACATTACATGGATAGAATCGTGAATTCCCCTAATATGCTTTTCATGCAACTCTGCAAAAATGTTGCTATTGGTACCACTGCAATTGAAATGTCACTTAAGAAAACGTGAAGCAAAATCTAAACTCAACAGATCGCAAATTTTTTACAAGTTCTGGTAATTTCTGGGTAATGGAATACATACAAAACGCATTCAACAGATTTTCATCTGACAGTTTGAAATGTATGCGAAGTTGTGCGAAGTATGCATAATCAGACCTTAAGCTTACTTTATTAAACAAAAAAACTTATTTCACTTATCTTCATTATAAACAAAATGGCCCAATTTACATTTGAGCCCTTTTATTAGGATATGGACATCCTATGGACATTGTGACGGTATCTGCTTCTCTCTGCCAACTAATTTTGAAATTCTGATCATTTTCGATGTTTTCTTTCGTTTTTATCTATTTTCTTTCAATAATTTTCAACGGGTCGCATATCTGAACAGTTTGGTAGGTTGTGGTCCTTTTGAATAATACAGTATATTTTGCTTTGCTGCCGCTATGCTTAAGTGCACATTTAAGATACCTACCCCAAAATGCGCATCAGAGGCATTATTTTTAACATTTATAAGGAAACTGCTCCGATAGATGCATTTAGCATACCCGCACATTGGCGATACCTGCCTTAAAAATTGTGCGACTAGTATCAATTATCAAAGAAAGTATTACGTTTACCTGCACTGGCCCTACATTTACCTAATTTTACATCTTTTTATTTATTTTGTTCATCTCGCAGAACAACGAAAATGGCTATCAATTTATGTAGTTATATAGATAATTAGATACTATTCGGTAAAAATTTCGCTTGCAGTAATTTCTACGTGGTAAGTGCTTCTCCATTATTTGGTTTCATAGGGATTTGGATACCTTCCTCATTGAAGTAGTAAAGAAAATTCGCTTAAGTGCCTTTTTCGGTTAAGTGCACAAGTTTTTCGTGCAAAGAAGGATGTGCAGCTAAGCAAAATATACTGTA